TAAACCACATTTAAGACATAATTAAGCACGTATATACACTACCACTGTGTGCCAACCTCATCTATCATCTTCAAATAGGATTTTCTCGTCTATTTAAAAGATTTTGGCTATATTGAAAATGTTTTGTTCCGAATGTTTCGTAAATGCCCAGATAAAGTCTGCCCATGCAACGCTGATTCAACCGCCTTCCGTGTGTACTCAGGCAAGGAGAATCCCACCCCACCCTCAACCCCCGCTGATCTCAGCTGGCTCTCTCGGCTCCCTCCCGCAGCCCGTGGAAACAGGAGAAGGCAGCTCCAGAGGAGGACTCATCCAGATCAACGAAAACGGCTAAAATAAGAGCGTGGTATCGACGTTTTGCCAAACGGAAGCCAAGACACGGGGAGAGCGAGAATTAAAATGTCTATTAAATGAATTACTCCGTTTGCAACGGTCATTAGGGAGACTCGGTACTTCCTACACTATCGCCCGCTGCAGCTCGGGGGATTCTGCAGTTTTGCACATTGGGCCAAGGGATCCGAGCTGGGCAACAGCAAACAAGGAGAAAAAAAAAAAAAATCACAAAATGTCTGGAAACTTTGATTTGTCTAGTATTCACAGGAGCTGCGGGGTGAGACAAAGGTAAAAGGCAATTTTCTGGTCACAACTCAACGACTTCAAACAGAAAGTCAAGCTTCCTTTTTTTTGTGTATTTTTTTTTTTCCCTGGTCCTGAAATCATCGCTTCAGTTTTCACGCCTTGCAAACCTAAAGGCAGGATCTTCTCCTAATCCTCACCCCAAACTCCTCTCTTTCAGTGACCTCAACAGGCACATCAGGGAAGGCAGGGGTCCTACAGGGAAAAAGTAGTATCACGGCACGAAGTGATTAAAAGCTGCAGGCTCAGGCACAGCCACAAAAGGACTCCGAGCACTGCCTGCCACCTTAACTTCTAGATTTCGACAGCTTGACATCGGGATTTTTTTGGTTTCGTTGTTTATTTTTTAACACACTCGTGTGAAACTACACGTGTGAGGAAATGCTCCCTGAGCTTGAGAAAAAGGCATGATGAAAAAGATTACATCCCATAACCCATAAGGAGATCGTCACCTGCTCAAGTCATGAGTAGATCAGAAACTCCTACACTCCTCCTAGGCCCTCTTAACCACCAGCTTTATCTTCTACTAGAATAAAACGTCCGGGAGTATGGGAATTAAATTGAATCGCTCACTTTTTTTCTTTTTATCTGACCAAATGAAGAGGTTTGAAATACATGTTACATTTAAAAAATTAAAAATATTATGTCAAACGTTCTATTCAGTATTTTAATATTAAAGTGTCCAATTCTATTTGCTTATTCCCTATGTGAAAGCAAGATATACCCAAAGAAGAGCTTCTACTTGGCTAATAAGCAAAATCCTCCACGACTGCTCTCCAAGCCCCAGGATGTACAAAACCACATTACTTGCCAGGGCTGGGGTGTCACGTATCTGTAGTTCCAGCTAATATTTCCAGAGGGGTTCAGATGGGAATTCTATGAATATATCCTGGCAATTTATTTCCACCGAAAAACTGCAACACAGTAAAAAAGGTGAAATAAGAGCAAGCTAAAGAGAAGCCCAGAGAGAAGGCAGCTGATGGTGCGGCACTCCAGCAACGGCCCGACGTGTCCACGCCGCCGCGGCTGGCAAAAGAGACTGCACGGAGCCGGGAGCGACCGAGCCACCACAAACTCGGTGCTGCCTTGGTCCCTGGCAAAATTTTGAAACCGGAGGAGAGACCTGAAACGGCGCTTTTTAAAATTAAGGCAATAGAAAGGAACGCGCGACTAGGAATAACGAGACCTCATAACGAAACCCTTACCGCACATAATGAATGAATGGTCAGGCCACGTTTATTCCTTCTGAATATTACTCCATCATAACATTGACTAATTCGCTTTGTATTTTATTTATTTTGTTGTTTATTAGCTTCAACTAAACCCAGGTTCTATATCCATTCTGAACGCCACTAATCCCAACTACCAGGCCATTTATGACTCAGAGCGCTGCTTTGCCAAGCCTGAAAGCCACGGCAGCCCCTTCGCAGCGTGGATGGATAACGCTAGAGAAATGGAGAGCTTGTAGGTTATACTTCAGCTTTCACGTGGTGTAACAAAATCTACAGTGGTTTTGAGATGAGAGAGCTTGTCAGACCTCAGTAGCGAGCATCACCCATTCCATAAAAGTGACAGCGAGTGTTACCAGCAGCGAAGCTGTTGCCCTCGTGCCCTGCAGCAAAGTCCCTGTCTGTCTGTTATTTGACAGGCAGGGTAATACAGGGATGTGTTGTGCTGGTGGAAAAACTGACACCGTTGCTGGAGAGTCCTGTGACTGGTATGAGCAAAATGGAAGCAGCACGTCCAACGTTTGTGGTAGATAACGATTTCAAGCATATGTTTATTACCGCTAAATTACATCCCTTGTACTGCTGACACCTGCAAGTGCTCAGCAAAACCTAAAAATAAAATCACATTATTTGTTGTCAGCAGTATGCAACTTTTCCTGAGCATCTAAAACTGAAATTCGTAATTAGAAATAAGAACTAACTGAACCACTATAGGCTGCGCACTATAACCTCCCTCGTCGCTGAAAAGAGGGTAATTCACCTACCAACTGTTTTCAAGGCCCAGCGCTGCCACAGGAGATACTGCTGGGGAATTTTAAAGTGTGATTTAAATTGGACCAAAACAGACGACCGAAATTGAAGGAGTGAAAACTAAACAACAGCCTCCTTGGCCCCAGCTGGAAATTCAACCCCGTTCTGCTGCCGTAATCGCTACAAGGAACTTTGCTGTGACACACCAAAAATTGGATTTAGTGAGTGAGTGAGAGATTGCAATTGCTGGGAGCTCAGGCGGGCAATTCATCCACGGGTCAGGCAGAGTGCAGCCAACAGCGCAACTTGCTCGACGGTTTTTCCTCTTCGGGGCTCTAAGTGCACGTCCGAGAGGCTCCCCTTTCTAGAGGGGGGGAGAAAAGGCCGTTGTCGGATCAGCTCCTCCTGGCTGGGAAAAGCTGGGCAAAATCGTGGCTACCTAACACACAATCCTAAAGCCACACGGAATATCGAAGCTGAAGATGCTGAAGTACATAAACAAAGCCCTATTCCTTTGAAAAATGCATCCCCCTGGCGGCTGCAAGGAGCTCAGCTCAAGACCGTATTGTCCGAATTCGTTACGCAGTATAGAATAAACCAAAGAAAAAAGGGACAGCAAAAAAGACTTTTTAAAACACAGAGAGCAATACAGCTTTTTCAGGGAAATTTCTCTGCACGGCTCTGTGGCAAAGCAATGGGGACGTGCCTAAGTGAAACCACAAGGAGTCCCCACAAGACAGGTTTTCAGTATCTTTCATGTTGATTCCATATTCCCCCACATACAATTCCAATTGCCTGGGCTTGAAAGTGCAAAAGACTTTATTTGAATTTACTCATTAAGGACCCTGGTGAACGAAAAAGAAAATGAGACACAATAACGAGCAGTTTTAAAACTTGTAATAACCACTAGGATAACACAAAATATATCCATCGTTCTAACATGAAACTTTGTTTACTCTCCAGAACATCGTATTTTTAAAACTAACACACACCCCCTGCGCTGAGTGAAGCCCATCCTACTTCATTCACACGACAAAGCATTTTTTAAATTTTATCTGGCACACGGTGTGCTGGTCTCCGGGGAAACACATTTAGAAACGACAAACCCTGGTTCTCTGTTTACTCAGAAGCAGCCACGAAAACAGGAGACGGAAGATTTTAACTACGGTGATCAAGAACCCCTTTCCTTTTGAGTAGGTGACAGAAACTCAATAACAATTTTACTTCCCTCTTGGAACGCCCGTTGCATGAAGTGGTATTCAAGACAGATCGCCTGATGTCCAAACTGGAGCGGACAGCTCATTTCTGATGTCTGTCTTCACATCTCCTTACAGAAGAACCATTTGATTAACTCCCCCCGGGGTGAAACCGAAAACCCTATTTTTCCGGTTGGCCAGGGACACCAGCAAGCCAAAAATGACACCCCTCTCCGAACGTTTTGCACCTTCCCTTCTTAAGAGTAACGTCAGGAAAGGGTGTAAGGACCCACGGATGCTAAGAGGGAGCTCGTGACAGCACCTCGGCCCAGCCGTGCCCCTGCGCATCCGAACACCGAGTCACTTCCCCACTAGTTAAAAAAACTCTGCGAAATACGAAGGAAGTGGCCGGATAAGTGGCAGGGTAGCCTGTGAAATGGTAAAAGACTTTTAGAGTGTTATTTTGACACTGAGGTATCAGATGCATTTATAAATCCAATTTCGAAAATCAGTTGGAAAGTGTCTCTTCAGAGGTTATTATGGTGATGACAGAAAAGAATGCCAGGAGTAAAGAAGCTTCTGTGCAGACAAAGAAAGAATCAAAATCTTTATTTTTTGAAAAGTCAGTACTACAGAAGCATACTATTACCATCAATATTATTAAAGAGAGTTAATCCACGTCAAAAATGCAGCTCTAGTTTTACAATGTTGTATTTGATCAAGGCATACCAATCAATATAAAGTATTAACAACCTTCATACGATTTTCCAGTGAAAAAAAAAAAAAAAACAGGTTTAGTAATTCAAACCATCTTCATTTATTTATAAAAACATGCATTTTCTACCTCTGTCCTTAGAGGTTTTTATTCTGTACTACTCCCGAAATACTTTCACTGGTCAGTAACGCTCCCAATTCTGATACAGCACCCATACTCCTTTCTCAGAACATATTGTGGAAAGAAAGCATTTAACTGGGATAATAAAATTCTCTTTATTGATTAAGAATATTTCCATTTTGCATACATTCTGGTTTTTACCTGTTTTACAGAGAATCCGAAATCATTATTTTACGACCTTCTCCTGCTTTTCAGAGCAGCCCTACGCACAGCTCTTCAACAAAAACTCCAGACACTAAGTAAGACTGCCAAAACCAGAACACGTCAACGATTTCACAGGATGAATTAACTTACTTTGGAGGACGTAGAGTCACATTCCTGACAAATCCATCCATAGCCAGTCTGTTTAGGGGACTTTTTCAAGGGAGGGTCTAGACAGCCAAAATGGTAGCACAGCCTGCATTCGTCACACCTGCAACAGAAAAGTGAAGTACGTATTTATACACAGAAACAGGCCTTCTGCACTGTTTTAGACTGAGCTTTCCTTCTCAGCACAAGATTTCCTGATCCGTGATCACGATACACAACACCCATTTTCTCTAAGGGCTATTTTCAAACACTTTCACTTCAAGCAGGTTCTGCCTAGTTTGGAATACTCTGACGGAGACACTCACGCATCACCTTTGTCACCATCTCGTATAAATGACATTATTATTTCAGAGACTTGCAAATTAAAGAAAAAAAACGTCTAACCAGCTCAATTTCTTGGATACTTCAGTGTCATTCATTGCCATTTTTATTCAGAAATCTGCCATTTTTTAAGACAGTGACAATACTGATTGTTCACAGGTTTAAGGCACCATTTTACGCATTTGCTTTTTCGAGGCAAACTGAAATGTTTTCTCACGTATCCAACTATCCACGTACAGTTTACAGCCATGAACGATATTTTTTTTACAGAAGGACTATGTGGCTGACAAAGAAATGCACAAACTATTTTCTGACTCGCTTTGAATTTTCTGGAAAGGGGCGTTAATTTAAAAGGATTTCACCGTGACCCTTCACTTATAAAACTGCCCTATGTACACACAACGATTTTATGTCCTTTTTAAATAAATCTTTCAGTAGTGTTTTGTACTATGTATGGTCCACATAAAAAACCCCTCAAAACATACAGAATAGCTATTGTTCTTAAAGTATTAGCACCAAAGAAATGCTACAGCCTAACACGTGCTTCACGACAGGGTTATTTTAAACCAGGACAATAATATGCTCAAAATGAGAAAGAGATTTTTAAAAGCAAATAGCAGGTTTTCATATATCCTACTGAACTTTGCTTTAATTCCATATCCCCCTGTATTCTTTTGCACGAAAAAGCAAGCTGTTTTCGCATTTACTTTGCAATATTCTCTTCATTAAATGCCCTGAAACTCTGAATTAAAGCCCATATAAGTGATCCAAAATCAGGAAAGAGTAAAAGTTTAAAAAGAAAATCTTCTAAGAAATCCCCTACGCTTTCTTTCCCTGCTTCCCTGGCCACTCATTTTCTCTTCTACAAATCACGGCAACACAAAAATCCGCAAAAATACCAGCAGCATGGCACAGGCACCATCAGATCAGAGAGGGAGGGATGTGATTTATCAACAGAACACGCAGTGCATCACGGAAAGAGGATTCGATGAACGGAACGTGCTGCTGGATTAGCAGGAGAAAAACGTGCACGTGACTTTTCTCCGAGGGTTAGCCTCCAAACCAAACGAAGTAATCCTTTTCGGATTGTTTCACCACAGGGATGACTGTCGCAAGACATGGGCTTGCTATTTTTTTTTTTACAAATGGGATATACCACACTACAAATCTATATCCTGAGGATTGCTTTGTCGTAACTCAGTCTAATTCCAGGACAAAGAAAACACTCAAAAAAGGAAACCACTCTCCAGTTTTAAAGACAGAAGAGCTCTAATGCACATTACTCACAAGCAGGAATACATGCAGCTTTATTTCCTGCGAAAGGCACATTAATGTAATAAAAAGGTTGAGAGTGGGAGATGAGAGAGGTTACACTCCTACGCCCCAACAGCGTACGTGACCTTCAGCAAAAGATTAAGCCTCCTTTGAGCCTCAATGTTCTCATCTGTAAAGGAATCTATCTTTACTAACCTATTTCTGTACCTAGAATCTTATTCGTGAAAGCGCTTGCACTCGAGCAGTGCTTCTGAACTCCCTTCATGGACACAAAACCGTTTGGGATCCTCTAAGTAACACAAAATAAAGCATCGCGTTATTTCTGACTGATTTAGGGTATTTTCAGAGCTCAATCCTACAATCTACATCCGATTTCAAACAGTATTAATTTAGATTTTTTTTTTTCTGAAGCGATTGTCTATAAACACAAGTGTTTACACGTTCAAAAGATACCGTTTCCCATTGGAAAGGACGCTTTGCCATCTCTCCTTACACCTTTTCCAATTTGGATCTGGAATTGCCGACTGCCCCTTCAGCCACGTTTCAAAGCACAGCGAGGGAGCTAGCAGGGCTGGGCTGTAACACCCAGAACATTACGAAAATAAATTCAGATCTGGAGGCGCCATTCTCAAGCTGAACGATTTTAATATTTATTCTCATTAATTTTTAGCACTTCAAAGCTGTTTCGTTTGGCAGAAGAAAAATTGCATTTTCCTAGAACGAGTTAAAAATATCTGCGTGAAAGTTTTCAGATGCTAATAGCTTCTATCTGCGTCTGCACAGCTGAGAAAATGCAAATAACAAAAGTCTATTTCCACGTATGAAAACATAAAAAGCCGCATGGTGAGGAAAACGAAACTATGCCAAATATTTTTAAACACTTCCTTCAAATTGCTTTTTATTGGAACACAGATTCTGTATGGTGGAACACAAATTCACTGATTCTGAAGTTCCCAGGGCATGATGCTGGGGGAAAAAAAAAAAAAGAAAGATGAATACACACTGCACCTTGGTTAAAGATGATGAATGGGAACCCTCCTGTCTGCTGAGCCTGACTCGGGACAACATGTGAAGCTCACACACGTCACAGTACAGAACACAAACCTGGTATTCTTAATTCTGAGAGAAAACCTCACTCCCAGGTTGAAATGGCACCAGGAAAATGAGATTAAGCCCTCAAGTGTACACTATTACTGGTGTTCTTTTGTCTAGCAGCATAAAATGATGGCAAATCCACTGTCAGATCCAGAAAATAAGCAAGCGACACCAAACGAGGAGTATTTTCCACCGAATTGGAGAAGGAAACGCGTGGGTCACAAGAGGTGTCACGCTGGCAGCCTGGCAGCCTTTCAGGGAATGCCCTCAGATCCATCACACCGCGGACATGTTCCGAGCACAGGAGGCGCACGGCACTGCCATTTACAGAGATCACCCACTTCCAGCCTGAAGGTGGCTTAACAGCACAACTTCAACTGTTGGGCTGGGGCGGGGGGAAAGGGAAAGAAACCACTTCCTCCATTTTAAAGGTTCTGTTAACGTTTTTGCCCTTGTGGATTCAAGGTCACACCTTCAAAACAGTCCTTAAACCAGCCAATACCTCCTCGTGCTGCTGTTTGTGGGTAACTTTTTTGGTGGTCAGGTACACGGCCTACAAATGCAATTAACTGCCCGGCCATCGGCTGGAGCGGAAACTTTGTGAAAAATCAAAACCGAGCTCCCCACAAAGCTAACCTGCCCTCCTAACTGACAGGTGATTGCTGACTACAAATGTTGGAACAAGCCTGGAATTACTTTATGCATCCCAACTAGAGATCGCCGTGCTCCTCACTCCAGCCATCCACGAGGACAGAGAAATGCCCACCGCGTAGCGAGAAAATGGGGTGTGAAGAAGAAAGGTGAATTCTGAAGGAGTCCGGTTAATAAATTAAAACACAATAAAACATTTTTCACGTATAAAAATACAGAATGCAGCTCAGCTACATCTTCCCAGCGAGAAAGCTTGATTAGGCACTTCCATACCTGGAATACATCTGCTTTGCTCTTGGTTAAAGTGAGCTCCATCTGCTCGTGCCCTTGGATTGTTTTTATTAGTTTTCTAGCAGTGCAGCTGGCTGTGCTCAAGCCCTACATAACTCTGCATTTCCCTGTTCATAATTAACTAATTATGCTCTAATCAATAGTGTAGATACTGATTTTACAATGTAAACGAGATAAATGAGATAACGGCTGGGGGCAATCTCATTTTATTTACAAAGCCCGGCACACACATCCAATTTCAGTACGTTGCCATCTACCTGCACAGGAGGGAGTCTTATCAGTTGGCCTGCAGAAGTCTTCCTGGGAGCAGTGGGGAGAAAGACCTCTGCTTTTCCAGGGGAACAGCGAATGCAAAACCTGCCCATCACGGGCACATTTGTAAGTCACCGGTTAGTATCACCGAAAACCACAAAGAGCTGATTCAGCCGGAGTGAAGAAATCTATTTTGCATTCACGAGACAGCATCACCCCTCTATAGCTGTAAAAGTAATTACCTCCACGTCCCTGAAACACAACATTAATAACCTAATCTTTAAATACAACTTCCCAAATATGCTTCAGAGACTACAGGAAATCTCCCACTTACGTACACATCACTGCACATCGTCTGCAGCGTCACGCCAAAAGGTACCACGTTGGACAAAAGACAAAATTGCAAAATATATCTACTACTCCCTATTCTTCACAGCGGCTTAGAAAGATTTATTTTAATGGAAAAAAGATGTAGAACTTTGATACACATTGACAAACCATCATCACCATTAAAATTAGAGAACTTCTATAAGCCTTACTCCGGCAAACTCCGAATTAATTAGAACAAAATTAGAAGCGATCCAATCCAGGATTTTTGAACTCCCTGCAGAGATCTGCAGTGGGATGGGTGGGGGTTCACGCGCCCCTTAGCTGGGGGGATGCCACACGAGGGCTGTTCCAGCACCTTAGGATTTAACTCTCGATATCCATCTCTTTCCTTGTCGGCTCGTTCTGGACCCCAGTCCTGACTGGAGGCTGGCAGCACCCGAGGAACAGATATTTCTGCTCAGGCCCCGATCTCTCTCCCCGTTAATCCCTCAGTGTTTTGGGCCACTCTGAAACCGCAAACAGCTCAGGGGGTTCCTCGTAAACTGCAGCACATCCTTGGGTTCAGAGGAGCAGCTTAGCTCCAGCTACGTCAGCTTAAGGCAAAACATTTTATTCCTTGTTGGGCGCCGTACGATAGATCCAACGGAAAGGAGCGGGAAAACATTCCCCAAAACCCCAGAGCAGGCTGAGGTAGCTCAAGTGAATTTAAACCGTCGGAGCCAGCTGACCGATGCTGGGCTGGCGCAGGGGAGGAGGGCTCCTGCGACACCTTAACGCAACCAGCCCACGGAAGAGGTAAATTCTGGGTGGCAGGAACGACGAATACGACGGGGGGGGGTTCTATCAGCAACTCTTACACGTCATGCCAAAGGCGGCACTTTCCTATGC